AGTAGACCCATTGAAATCAGTGGGATTAATTTGAGCCTATCAGTTTCAATGGCCCTACTCAGCATATGGTAAAAATTGGATACCACCCATCAGGTTTCAATCAGGCTTCTGAACATTTAATATGCAAAACTGAATAAGGTTTTTGTTCACAAACACAGCGAAGCTTCAACTGTAAAGGAGTCCACTTTTAAAAAGATGACACTAAGATCGCACAGTTTTAGTGAGTGTGTGTGTGTGTGTGTGTGTGTGTGGTACCTCAGTTTACACAGTGGTACCTCGGGTTACAAACACCTTGGGTTACAAACACTTTGGGTTACAGACTCTGCTAACCCGGAAGTAGTACCTCGGGTTAAGAACTTTACCTCAGGATGAGAACAGAAATCGCACACCAGCGGCAGCAGGAGGCCCCATTAGCTAAAGTGGTACCTCAGGTTAAGAATGGTTTCAGGTTAAGAACAGACCTCCGGAACGAATTAAGTTCATAACCAGAGGTACCACTGTACACACACACACACACACACACACACTTGTGCGGGCCTGACAGTGACACTTACTAGAGAAATAAGGAGCAAATTAATTTTGTTGCACAAGCTACCCCCTGCCTCAAATGGTGTGATCTAGATTCCCACTGTTTGCGTTGTCATAAATGAGATGGGACCTGATCATTATCCCATACAGGCTTAGAATGCATAATCTCATACAGGCTGAGAATCTGCTACAGCGATTGGGACACATCCAAAAAGAGGGTAGCTAGCTGCACATTGCACTCAGACGGGCAGAGCATGCTTATGCAATCAAGCTGCTGTGTTGCTGCTTGTAAAGAGATTCGGCGTCAAATATGCAAGAATACTTTTATTTTTATTTTTTTTTAAGAAATAATAAAATAAGACATAATATATATATAAAAATTTTGTACAGTCCATGATTTGTGCAGTACATTAGGAAGACTTTGATACAAAAGGCTGCAAACAGGAAAATAAGTAAAGGAGAGCGATTGTCAAATGCCTGTTGGTTTTGTTCACCTTACAAACAGCTGCAGGACAGAAAATCCATTTACGAGAAGAGAGAGGTCTCTCCAGTTGCCTGTGGGGTGGCAACTGCGCAGCACTCTCCTACCTTAAAAATGATCAACAACAGCAGCCAGGTTTTTGGGTTTTTTGTTTTGTTTTGTTTTAGAAAAAGAAGACATTACAGTACTTATCGGTTTTTACTTTGCAACCCCACCCCAACAAATAAAAAGGAGAGCAAAAATAAGAGAGCAAAAATATCAGATTCAGAACCCTTTGTCTTTGCCAAATGCATGTGCCATAGAATGAATAGTTATGGGGGGGGCGTGAATCTGTGACTGAACCATGTACCCAAAGAATACACACATTTTTATTCATTTTAAAACCTTGCACACCAGGCCACAGTTGAGAAACTACAGCAACCCATAGCCTTTGTTGCACGAGCGAGATAATAAGGCTGCAACCCTATACTGTGTGCCCACTTCCTTGGGAGTAAGTCCCTGTTGAAGCAATGGAACTTACTTCTGAGTAGTAGACCTGCTCAGGATTGCACTGTTAGTTACGTACAAGAGAAGCCCGCACCCCCCACCCCACCCCCATTCAAGTATTTCTAGGGAAAAGGAAAATTACTGCTTGTCTCAAAGCTCTTATTTGTGGCTTGAGGACTCAGGTCTGCATGCAGTCTACATTCCAGTGACGTCAGTGGGGAAATTTCCCATCGGTGTAAGTGGCGAGCTATTGCACCACAAATCTATACTTGCTCAACACTTTGCACAATTGTCCCTTGTGATCAGCTGCTTCAAAAATAATCTTTCGATAGCTTCACAATGGTCATGGAACCTAAGGCTGAGCCTCCCAAGGCATGTTGAGCTTGCTTGTTTGTTTGTTTGTTAAAAAAGAACATCATGAGGACTAGGGGACGCGGGTGGCGCTGTGGGTAAAACCTCAGCGCCTAGGACTTGCCGATCGAAAGGTCGGCGGTTCGAATCCCCGCGGCGGGGTGCGCTCCCGTTGCTCGGTCCCAGCGCCTGCCAACCTAGCAGTTCGAAAGCACCTTCGGGTGCAAGTAGATAAATAGGGACCGCTTACCAGCGGGAAGGTAAACGGCGTTCCATGTGCTGCGCTGGCTCGCCAGATGCAGCTTTGTCACGCTGGCCACGTGACCCGGAAGTGTCTCCGGACAGCGCTGGCCCCCGGCCTCTTAAGTGAGATGGGCGCACAACCCTAGAGTCTGGCAAGACTGGCCCGTACGGGCAGGGGTACCTTTACCTTTACCTTTAGGTACCATGATATATACATAAAGGAAGGTTTCGTTTTAGCGGTGTTTTTTTCACATGCAGAAGCAAACAGGTAAAGACAAAGGGTTATTTGAGGAAGAGAAACATACCCCCGACAAAGAGTGCAATAGATTAACCACTCTCATCAAGTCTGTAGCAATCTGAATGCAAGAAAAAAGGAAAGAAAAAAGCCCATAGCAAGGACAAACACAATCAAGTTAAACATCCATGCCTAAATAAATAACAAAAAAATAACTCATAGCATTAGAAATCCCATAAGGCTTGCAATTATTTGCTAAAAACCATGCTAACCTGTAGCATCATAGGTTCTAACTGATGCCATCTTGGCCTTTTCTCCTATCGCTTTTCTTTTTCAATGGACTTCTCTATTTACATTTGGCTTTAAATATGAAAATACTTGATAAACTTTATTTTTAAAAATGTACATTTTCGTTAAAAAAAATTCTGAAAACACAAAACCCTGCTTCTCAGGAAAAGAAAAATCAACTCTGCACCAGGAAAAGAAAAGAAATATTAGATTTGATTTTTTTAAGGGGGGAAAAAAACCAAAATCCCTTTCTCTGTGTGTTTGTTTTTAAAACAAATATATTCAACACTTTCTCAACCCACCTTTCCCTTTAATGTCTCAAGTCTTGCAAGTGGGAACTTTGTGCATTTTGGAGCAGTTTCCTCCCTTCTTTGTTTGACATGTCACTAAATACTCTTTGGTTTGCTCTTTATTTTCCTTTGCAAAATATATCACAATAGCAGCACGAGTCATGTTCAATTGCTTTCATTGTTTCCCTGACCCAGAGACTCCAGTCAGGTTGCCATGCATATTTAGTACTGTGCCCCCCCCACCCTCCTTTTTTCACTCTTCAGAATTAGCCTCAGTTCATGGTACATAAACAATATCTGACTTAAGAGGAAAAACAAACAAACCTGCCTATATAACACCATCTCCAATTTCTGCAGTTTCGAACCCACCAACTCTGCAAAGTTCATTCTAACTGGGAAATGCCACATTACTGAATTTGTCTCCTTCTGACATGGCAACTGTGACCCAGAACAAGCTATTTTTTAATGGCATACAGGGAGATCCAATACTGTAAAAGAATTTAAGGTTTATTCCCTCAGTTATCACCTCCTTCTTCCACCTGCTGGTAGGGCTCGTACGTCTATAACCTATGGGTGCCACTGAAACGGTACACTTGATCTTACGAGGCAGGGAGAATTTTTAAAGCATTCTTGGCAAGGGGCCCCCAAATGCCATTAAAGCCACGGTTCAGCAGTCGGTCGCAATAGCTGTTTAAAGATTTCGGTGAAGATATATTGCTATGTCTGTCGATCATCCCATCGTGGCTTTCTCAAGTCGTCAGAAAACAAAAAGAGGGAACTCTTTTACAGTATTGTTCCCTTCAAACTCACCTGCCCACCCCCACCCCCCCTGACAAACAATCTAGAATTTTTTAGCATACTTCCCCCCCCCCCATCACCCTGGCAAGGAGAAGCTGTCCCATCGAAAACAAAACCACTGATCTCCTTGCATCAGATTATTCCACGTCAGCTTCCTATCTCCTGGGAGCAGCCTGTTGCTTTGTTCATGGAAGCCTACTGCGTATGGTCAAGTCTATCTCTATGGCTGAAACGATGGTTTTGCCAACGTGTAACAAAGCTGGATTAAACGTCAAATGGATCGTAACTATGGCCTTGGTTCCGTTTGATGGCTCACAATACAATCCTATACATGTCCACTCAGAAGTAAGACATACTAATAGGGCTTTTCCCCAGCTGCCTCTAGGATTGCAGTCCCTGCAAAATCCTGCTCCACTTCTAACAGGGTTCTGTGTTCTAAAAACTGGTCTGGAATGCATGACTTCTTAGTTGACTTTCTGCCACAGTCTTGCTGTTTTGCAAACAGGAAATAACATATGTTTGCTCCCTTTCACTCAGTTTCTTCTCCTCCTCCTCTTTAAGATCAGAAGTTTATTTGCCCAGAAAAGGGTGGGGCAAAAAAAGGAGTCTTTTGTTTTAGAATAAGGTGCATTTAAAAAAAAAAATACTACATGCGTAAGGACCTTTGGGGAAGGAAGATAGTCTGAAAGCAACCTGCTCTGTTTAAGTAAAAAGCTGTGCAAATGTGTGCAATTTTTCTCTTTGGTATTCACTTAGGTAGCTTTGAAATCAAAACACATTTTGGATTTTTTTTTGGGGGGGTGACTCCCATTCCATTCCCAAACACAAATTAAAAAATATATATCTTGCTGTAGGCTACTGCATGGCATTGTGTTACATAATACTTCTTATGTAACTGGATAGTACGAAGAGAAATTGATTCTAGCCACCAATCTACTGGCCTCATCAAAAGTTCAGATTCCCTAGCATCACCAGTCACTTTGTCTGACAGAGAGCTTTGAAACTAACAAGTTCAACACTGAGAATTTCCCCCTTTTCTGTTTCTGTTTTGCGTTTTTGTTGTTGTTGTTTTTTTAAAAAAAAGGATATATAAAAGAGAAAAAAACAAATACTACACTGCGACAAAAAATAATTACAATTTGTGTTCATGTAGTTAGCAGCAACATTAAAAAAATAGTAAGGCCGTCTCTTGCCTTTGTTATGCCATTAAAAACATTCTTGTTCCCAAGAGAGAAGCATTTTGGGAGACAGAGAGAGAAAAATAGACGACAAACAATACCACTCAACCAAAGCTTGCCTGCAAGTTCAAGTTTTGTAAAAAAAATATATACATAATTTATTCTACAACATATATGTGCTTTCTAGTCAAGCACAGACATAGTGCTTCATGTTCCAATTCACGCTTTTGCTGTACCTCCCATGAAGACAGCGTTTTGAAAACCAGCCTAGCAGGACTTTTTGGCCTGCATGCCTATCTCTGTTTGACAGTACCGTCATCTGAAAAACTGTTTGCGGCCACTCCTGCATGTAGCCTGCCCGTTATTGACAGATATATTTTAACCAGAGCGGAAAACATTTCCATCAGTCATATTTCAGATTCCCGCCTTAAAGGCCTAGGCTCTAGGGGGACACCAGCTTGGCTGTGGGGCTCCATCTCTGGCTGTGTGTCTGTACTCGTGCTCTCGGGCACTCCATTGTCACTATCTTCTTCCTCTTTGCCCGTGAGGGCTACTTCGTTCTCGTAGCAAAATGAGTTTGCATTAGAGAGGATATATTTCTTTTCCGCTAAGTCTCTGGCACTACAGAGGGGTGTGTTCGGCACTTCGTACGTTTTGTGGAACCTAGAATAATCCACTTTGTAGTAGTTCTTCTCTTCAAACAGTACAGGCTCATAACGGTGGCCCCAGAGGATTTCGTTTGCCAGATAGGAGCTACGGCACTGGGTAGTCATGGCAGTAGCTTCCACCATGCCTTCTAATATTACTACAATTTCAAAGTCTGTGTTGTCCATATCTTGCTTACTTAAGTCATACAGTGGGCTCTCTTCATCTATTTCGTGGACAATTGTAATAGGCGACACCAAAAATATGCGGTCTATCCCGCTGTCAAACCCGACGTTGATGTCAATTTGGTCTAGCGGGATGTATTCTCCTTCAGTGGTGATTCGGGATTTGAGGAGCTGGGCTCTCACGTGAGCTTCCACCAAGTGGCTTTTGCGTAGATTCCCAACCCGCCACATCAAGCACAGCTTTCCATCCCTCATAGCTATCACCGCATTGTCGCTGAAGATGAGAGTTTCGTTCCTCTTCTTCGGCTTGGCCATCTTAGCCATCACAGCACCAATGATGAAGGCATCAATGATGCAGCCGACTATCGACTGGAAAACCACCATAAAGACTGCGATGGGACACTCGTCCGTGACGCACCTAAAGCCGTAGCCAATCGTCGTCTGCGTTTCAATGGAGAAAAGGAAGGCCGCAGTGAAGCTGCGAACTTCAGAGACACAGAGTCCTTCCTTTTTATCGAGGTCCCCGTGCAATAAGGCAATCAACCAAAACACACAACCAAAAAACAGCCAGGAGAGGATGAAAGCCAGGCAGAAGATGAGCAACATCCACCTCCAGCGGATGTCCACGCAGGTGGTAAATATGTCTGCTAGGTACCGCTGTCCTTTCTCTCCCACGTTTATGAACTGAACGTTGCAGTGGCCATCTTTCTTGACGAACCGGCTCCTGCACTGCTGCCTGGTGTGTACCTTGCTCTTGCCATTCCCAAATCCATTGGCAACAGCCATGGTGGCCAGCTTCATGCCGTCCTCTTCCGAGGAAACTATGCTGTAGCGGTTGGTTCGCACGCTGCCCATCGCTTCCGCTGTGGACTGTGGTGCTTCTGCTTTAGAAAACAGTCTGAGTTTCTGCAGAACCCTTTGGAGAAACAGTTTTGAAGGCTCTTGGGGAACACACTCAGAGGAAAAAGAGAGAGAAGCCGGGGCCTCTGTCAGACCTTGACTGCACCAAGGAGCCTTCCGATCGTCGCGGCCAACTTAGCAGCCAATCATCTGCCACAAGGAGACATGGCCTGTCATAAAAGAGAGAGAGAAAGTTGTGTCAGCAACTGTTGGGATCGCATTTCTATTTTTCTGCCCCCACATGATCTTGTACGGATCCCGCTCCCAGCTTCGTTCGTTCCAGGGGACATCATCTTGTTCAGTGGCAATTCAGCATAGCCACGGGAAATCACACAGCTAATCTTAAAAGAAAGCATCACCTAATAGCTCGAGTTTTTATATGCAGAATCATAGCATAGGAAGGTACCATGAGGGTCATTTAGTCCAACCCCCTGCAGCGAAGGAATGTTTTGCCCAACGTGAGATTATGAGACTCATGCTCTACCGACTGAGCGATCCCAGTAGATTCGGCCGATATAGGATGACAACTTCAGCCAAAGATGGTATAATGAATTTAATCTAACACAGTATGCAATGAGCAGAAACACATTTTTGCCAGGGTCAGGGAGTGTCTCATTTAGTTACTCTGCAAAAATAAGGAAACAAAGTAACACTCCTTAAACTGTCCAGCATTTTGCTATTGGGGCTCACTTGTCCAATTCTGGTCTCTGGCTGCATAAAACCTTTCTTAAGGGTATAAAGGGGACTCACTTTAAACTCTAGTATTACACTGCCACCAGTCTGAATTGCCAATAGCCTGGTATCTTGTTGATTAGTTTTAAGCCATCCATTTTGAGATTCCTAGATCTGAGAATCATTGATGTGATTTATACCAGTTTTAACATAAGATAGTGGTGCAGCAATAAAACTGCTAGCACATTTGCAAAGCTAAGCAGGGTCCGGTATGGTTTCAATATTGGATGGGGAACTGTGTGCATTGCAGGGCCCATCTGACCCTTGAGGTCTCTTCCAACTCAATATTTCTATAATGCATTTGAATCCAATCCAAGTTTACCCTCTTGCAGTATTTGACATCCCTCCTCTTATTAAATGAAAGTTGATTGGAAACTAAGCACTGAATTTTGTTTTCATTTTTTTCAGAATTCAGTCCGCAAAGCCGTATGTTGCTAGTGAATCTAAAGCAGCTTGATGCTAGACATTGACATAGTGATCGTTGCAAGGTAGTAGTAGAGCAAATATACAGAAACGAACCTCATGGAACTGTGAGTGAGATCCAGGTTTATTGCGGGGGATCAGTATGGTGCTTGTGTTTTGTTTTGTTTTGTTTTAACTAATAAATTAAGCAAGCACAGGTTGGGACCTAAATCAAAATATGGCTGAACCAAAATATACAGACCAACATTCAACACGTATGCAATTTCCAAGGGCATTTAATATAGTAGTGAAACAATGGCCCTGATCCTGCTCTACTCATTCCCAACCAGTCATGTCTATGATGATGCATGTTCTTATCCCACGCAGCCAATCGGATGCTAATCTGCCTATGCCTTTCAAAGCCTGCTTCCTTGTCGAGATCTCTTTTGTTGCATCCATCCATTTTGCTGCCATCTAAATTTCTGCAGCTCAACTGCCTGAACAGTGTGGTTGGAACTTCGTGAATTTGCTATGTGAAGGAGCTGCCATATAGTCAGGACTGGCTCCTGTCCCTATGTGTTTGTTTGCTGCTGTGGTGTTTTTTTTAAAAAAAAATCTAACCCAGAATGCTGCTTGTTTATTTGAAAAGAGGCTTGCTGTAAGGCACGTGTGCATAAGACTGCAGCCATGAAGTCTTAACCACCTCAAACATATTCAGTCAGAAGTATGGACCACTGGATTCACAATCCTAACCATGTTTACTCAGAAGTAAAACATATTAAATGGGGATCAGGTAAGTAGGTCTAGGATTGCAGACTTACTTCCTAATGGTTAGGACTATAACTGTAGAGATGTTTCCATTTCTTTTCGTGACTCCTCGTAAGATCAATTTAAGATGCAGCAGGTGACACAACAGTAGTCTTGCTGACATTTTACTCTTAAAATAAAGAGGAGCACTTGCTTTGCATCATACGAAATTTGAGGCACATCCTCAGTGGGTCAAAACCACAGGTCATCCCACAGCAAAATTTCAAACTCAAACAAACATCAAATAACACTTAAAAGTCTAGAATAGCAATTCAAATATAGAAGATTTTTCATAGGTCAAGTGAATCTCAAAGCATGGCTCCAGATGATGCTATATAAACTTTTGTCTAATTCTCCAGGTCACAGCTTCATAAGGTAACCTTATATGTTAGGTACTTTCCCAGATAACAGAAAGCAGATCTTCTGATAATAATTACAGATGGAAAGTCTAGGCTAGATGTAGGATAGGTCTGTCCCTGGGTGCTGAATGCAGTATGTAATGGGTGACATCTTCTTGAAATTAGTCAAACTTATTATTATGCTACGTATTTTGGCAGCTTTCAACAATCAAGGGTTATTCAAATGTGCACTAGTTTTCTAGTTAATTTATACCTGTCTGATCATTCGTCTGCAAGGCAAAAGTTCAATTTTTCCAGCAACTAATGTTTTGTTTTTTAGTTAAACAATAGCTCAGCCAATATCTAACTCCTTAGGCAAAACTACTTTCAGTGTTCAATTTGCACTATTTTACTGTTGATGTATAAACGTAGTCTAGAATATCAGTTTAAGAAAGAATCAGGTTTCTGTTTATACACAAACAAAAACAGTTAACTGAAAGATAGCTTTATTGGTCTGCAGATTATTCCATGTCGGAAACCACATCCTATTATTATTATTGTCATCATGCTGCATGCCCATGTTCAAATTACATTTGTAGGCATGCTGTTTGGGCTGATCTTTTTCTCAGATTTAAAGGAGGAAAACAAGCCAGTTTAAGGGGGAGGGGGGAGAGAGAGAGAGACTGAAAGAAGGTCTACATGAGACTTTGGAAAACTACCTTGACCTTTGGCCATTTGATCAAATTCCAAGCATCACTCCAACGTAATACCAGCTTCCTATGAAATGCCTGCTCAAATTAGAACCCTAGAAATAGCACCAAGTACCTATTACTGGCAGATTTCCACTACCAGCAATAGTAATTGTTCCATATGTTGTACATTTGCATGGTATTATTAGCTAATAGAGTTTCACCACTACGGGCACTCTGCCTCTGGAAGCAAACCCTTTATGTGCAGGTTGGCTAAAATAATTCTTAAACAAAGAGCCTGGGGTTATAACTCTTTCAAGTGTTTATAGACTAGAAGTTCATCATGCAACAAAACTTTGGCATACCACACACAACACTTATTACAGCCTTTATAGGATAACCACCCTCTCTTTTAACAACACAAATTGCCCACTCCTGCTGCCACTGTAACTAGGATACAAACAGGGAGCAGGCAGAGGGACAGGTTAACCTTCACGATGAATCACCAGACAAGGTTGACAATGGCACATTAGTAGTTGCAGAAATCTCATGTCCACAAAGTGAATGGCAAAATTCCTGCTATTTATCCAAGCAGAATCAGGTTCTGGGGATGTTTAGAAGAACAGTGCAAGCATCTAACGCACACATGAATTTTGTGGGAACCACAGAGACAACAGAACTGATACAGCAGCAGCAGACCTACAGCACAGATGTAGAATTTGGACAGGACAGGGATCAGGCCCTGTGGAAGCCCCAGCATTAATAGGGTAGTGGCAAAGTCTCAGAAAATTCTGAACTCTCCCTCCCTTTCAGCTGTCCAACACACGCACACACACACATACCTTCCTTTGGAAATGAAGACACCACTCACTGTCCGAAGAGAATGCCCAACATCATTTCTGATGGTGCACTTTCTTCTCCTAGCCACAATTTACCAAACCCATGTTACCAACACCTGCTCTATTCCTATACAACAAGTTCACAGTACTGAGAGGTGGGTAAAAGTCTGCAGGCTTTTCTCCCCTTCCAAGCTGTTGCTACTTCTCCTGCCTACCAGCAGTCTTCCCACACTCTACTTGAAGAAAAGAGGGGGAGGGAAGTAAGCTGACTGTGAACCCACATGCTAGAGAAGAACCCACATGCTCCAGAGCTGGCTCCTCCAAAACCCTAAATAGAATTGGGATCAGAATCTTTCAGAATGAAGCTTCAATTCCAATGCCACTGCTAAGGTTATTAAACCACTGCTGTATACAGTAGTAACTCGGGTTAATAACTTAATTTGTTCTTAACCTGAAACTGTTCTTAACCTGAGGTACCACTTTAGCTAAGGGGGCCTCCCACTGCCACTGCTGTGCGATTTCTGTTCTCATCGGGAGCAAATTTCTTAACCCGAGGCACTGTTTCTGGATTAGCGGACTCTGTAACCTGAAGCATTCCGTAACCTGAAGCGTCTGTAACCCGAGGCACCGCTGTATTGAGCTAGCCTCATGCAACCTGAACATACCCCATAAATAAGTTCAATGCATTACGTTTACTCCCCACTGCCTCTGTAGATGTGTTCTGCATGTATGTGTTGACAGATGGAGAGAGTCGGGGGATTTCCCCCCTACTTCCACCCCAAACAATGGGCTCTGAATCTGAGCAAACTGTGTCTGGGAGGAAGCTTTGGAGCACAAGCAGCCTTCTGAATTTAAACACATTCACGCTTGTTTGAAAATTGCAATGATGAAATAGGTGAGAAGCATTCTTAAAAAGAAAAAAAAAACAGCACTCTCAGGCTGCTCAGGGTTGAGCGAACAGGGGGAGAGAAATAGTTAATGAGCAAGCAGCAGTTATTCCCCAGTTGTCGCTGCACACCTCTGCTGAGGCTGTTCAAGGCACATGTTGCTAAGTGAACCTAACTACTACCTTCCTGTGCCCTGAGTAAACAGAATGGCTGTGAGCTAGAGCTCAAATCAATAATCAGAGCAATGCCCTCCTCTTCAAGTGGTTCAGGAGTCTATTCTGCCTTCCCCTTACTGGCAGTCTATTAATATTCTCAGCTTAATTTTTACATTTTTTATTGTTAAGGCACCACAATGCACAGGACTGCCCCTCCAATACCTCACTGAGACAGAGGACCAAAACAATGAGGGTGGTTTTAAACAACAATGCCAACAACAAGAAGAAAGTTTGTAGAAGGAAGTGTGTGAGGGGAAAGGGGGAAGGCTGAGAGCCTTTTGATCCCAGATCCTGCTTGCTTGGAGAAGATGGCAAGATATTTCTAGATGATGACAAACTAACAACAAATGACCAGAGTCATCACCGGGGGGGGGGGTGTCGTTGGCAAGCTGCTTAAGATGGAAAAAGAAAGGAATGCAGAGAAAAAGGTAAGGGGCAGAATATAGAAATTTTGCACAGTGAGAGAACGAAAGAATCTGGGAAGCGGAAGTATTGGGAGGGGGGAGAAGAGTGATAAGGAAAAGGTTTTCCTCACAATAGTTTTTTCAGCTGCAGAAGCTGCTTCAAGCTCTAAACATTCCTGCTACAGCACAAACTATTTTCAGATGGCAACGTCTGTAACAGGCTGCAGCAGAGCCAAAATGATTTGTTCTTTATTTATTTCTTATATTTTGCCCGGGGAGGGGGGAACCCTGATGAATCAAGCTAAAGTGATGCAATCTCTCCCCAAACGTAAGACATGCTGATCTTTTCTTTCGATGCCTGCTTTTGGCATGGAATAATACCAAGATTTAAAAAAAATAAAAATAAAATAAGAGGGGTGGGGTACAAACAATCCACAAGTTGCTTCGGAGCATCTTGGGAAAAGGTCGACATGTGGTATTTTAGGCTGTTTTGAAATATGTTTCAGAGCTTCAGGAGGACCTAAGAGGTCTTGATGCTGTGACCTATTCCTGAGTCACAGCATAGTTGCAAACCAGAGGCAAAAAAAGGAAATAGCAAAAATAATCCAGAGCTCAGCAGAGCTGGCAGCATTTTTTTCTGCTAAACTCCATCCAAAACAGTCCATTGCAAAGGCAATTAGATGCAGTGAAAGTTAAGAGCACAGAAGAACCGCCAGCAATTGCGGACAAATCTACCTGCAACAATTTTAGCAGCTACTGAATCTGGTACCTGAAAGCAAGTTTATAAAATGTTTCCATTTGTGGACCTCCGGGGAAATCTCCCTGCTGCAAGCATGCAACCAACCATTTCTTACTTCTTTCTTTCAAGACCCTCAAGCCTATCGATCTGTGGGGGCTATAGGGTTACATTCTGACTCAAAAGAGCAACAGTTCGCAATATTCCTCTCGACTGAGAGGTTCCAAGCCACCCCGCTTCCCGAAGGTCAAAAAAGAGAGAGAAAGAGAAAGGCTTCCTTACCTGTCGGTGGATTTTAAGCTAGGCAAAAATTGTATTGTTAAAAAGGGTGTTAGATCCAGAGGTGAGTAAAAAACGGAAAACCATCCCCAAGCTCTCCCTAGCCTCAGCCTGCCGCTGGCAAGTGATACAACGGAATAAGCTACTGCCTCTCTTTTGAGCGCTGCCCATGTGATTTTTAATACCGGCTCGCCAGTCTCCGCCCACGGGGGCCTCCTCGGACCAATGAGCGCCGGGGGGCGGGGCCGGGAGCGCCTGGGGCTCCGGGGCCGCGGCTCCGCTCTGGCAGTAGGAGAGAGGGGAGCGGAGGCGACGGAGCTGCTCCCCGGGACTGCCATCCGCTTGCGCCCAGCTCCTCGTCCAGCAGCTCCGGAGTCCTGCTGCGGCTCGGAGGGAATTGAAACGCGGGCGGGTGGGAAAGGGGTTGCAGGAGGACCGACCCTGGGGGAAGTGCACGTTCCAGCCCCGGTTTGCTTACTACGGGGCGGGGCGGGTGGGAAAGGGGTAGCTGGCTGGTAGGGAGAGGGATTGTCCTGCTGCGCCCTCGGAGCATTTCTCGCCCTGCGGGAGGAGCCGTGGAGCGGCCGGTGGCGGTGGATGGACGCGTGGCGGGACGTGGGAGAGGCCGAGAGGGGACTTCTACCGTGGATGCTTCAGTGGAGATTGCTGCATCGCAGGGGGTTGGACTAAAGGACCTTTGGGGAGCCCGTCTGACTCCAGTTAGGTGGTTCTCCTCGCTGAGGAAGTGCGGCAGGGTCGGGAGGAGGGCGCGGTGCCCGAGAAAGAGGGGAGGGAAAGAAAGAAAGAGAGAGAGAGAGAGAGAGAGAGAGAGAGAGAGAGAGAGAGAGAGTCTTTAATCACTTTAAGGGGGGGACGTCTGGAGGAGCCAGGAAGTGAGAGACTTGCTCACCCTAAAGAGCAGCGCACAGGCGATGGTGGTACTGGGTCTTGCTTGCCTTTTTCCAAGCTTGGACGTGAGGGCTTTTTGCAGGTGGGTTGGCGTGGAGAGGAACAGAGACTTTAAAGCAGGTGGTCTGGAGAAGAAAGCTGTGTGTCTAGTGAGGGGTTGGGGGGGGATTGTGTGAAACATCAAAGGCAAGCTCAGGGTTGCCACTCCTTCTTTCCCTCCCCCCTGACAAGAGGTTTAAGCAGAAATCCAGCAATCGCAGGAATAGGGAGAATGGCACCCTTCTGGATTTCGTGCTCTTAAAAGGGTGCAGGAAAAAGTGGCAACCCTTGGGAAGTGAACTAGGGGGAGCGCAGGGAAAAAGGGATGGTTGGGGAGGAAGGGTGCCTGTGGGAGTAAGATCGAGGACTGCTCACTCGCTCTTTTAAAAACCGGGTTTGGGGGCAAAATCTATGGGGCGAAGAGAAGTTATGAGGGGCTGGTAGAGAATTGCACCTGAGGTTGGATTCTAGGGGCGGGGGGGGCGTGATGGAGAAACCGGAGCGAAAAACTGGGAGAAGATGGTGTGGGGGGTGCTGTGTGGGTTGCAGAGAGAGATAATTGGGAGTGTTGGTGGGGGGAATTGAAGGGAGCTCGGTGGAGAGGCTGAATGCAAAGTGATGTAGGCAGAGTGTGAGTGAATGAGACATTAACAAAGCAAGGAGGGTCTTGTATTTGTGGAGGAGTAAAACGGCTGACGAACGTGTGTGAAAAGCCGAATGCCCTGGGAGGAATGGAAACAAAGAAAAGCTGAGCCTCTGTTAACGAAACGCAGCAAATTAGCAACAGTTAAAATCGTGGTTGTGTAACTATTGTCCCTAAAATATCACAAAACACGTTCGAACAATCAAGCTGTGCGATCAAGTTATTAAAGTGACTTCATCTCAAGCACCCGTTTATTTTCTCTCCCACCCCCCACCCGAAATGGCCCTGTCACCAGCTAATTTGTCCAGAAATAAATAAACCCGTGGCCACAGTTATTCCAATCAGGTAGTAAGACACTGAGCATGAAAGGCACAAATTCTGTTCCTTATAGCCTCCGTCATCCTATGTCCATCTTCAAACTAGAGGTGGAATCATCTTATGCAGGATATTTTAGAGTTCCACACCAACTCATGTCCTCATATCACTAAATGTTTAATTGCATATGGAGTTTCTATCAGTATGTATTTCTGAAAATGGGGAAAATGTCTACTCATTTCTCTCTTCTCCCCTCCTGAGAAATTTGCAGTTGGAAACATACAGAATTATTTTGTGTGCATAAGCCAATGTGTGCCTCTCATGTAATGTGTCTATAGCCAGTTTTTCTCATCTGTGCATTTTGTTGCTATAAACAGACATGGTGCTATTTTAATTCTGTGCATTATTGTTTCTTTTAGGGTCCAGTGAGGACCTGGATAGCTGAGTTGGTTAGAGGGGTAGTGCTGATAACACCAAGGTTGCAGCTTCTATCCCAAAGCTCAACAACTTTGGGGTAAAATTGTGAAAAAAGAAAAAAGCTCAACAACTTCAGTCCTTAAAAAAGGTCAACAATTTTGATTGGCTCTCACGCATGTTCACTTCATCAAATCTGGCCCTCTTTGAAAAAGGCTTGGGCACCCCTGGACTAGATGGTCCTTAGGGTCCCTTCCAACTCTATGGTTCTGTATTATTTAGACTTAAGAAATAGGCCTTCGGTAAAGAAAGGCTAAAGTTCAGTACACACAGTAGAAGATCAAGAATACATTTTGGGTGGAATGTATACAGTGGTACCTCCAGTTACGAACTTAATCAGTTCTGGAGGTCCGTTTGTAACCTGAAACCACTCGTAACATGAAGCGCGCTTCCACTAACAGCGCCTCCTGCTGCTGCCGTGCTGCCGGCACGCGACTTCCGCTCGCATCCCGGGGCAGAGTTTGCAACAAGGGGCATCTACTTACGGGTTAGCGGAGCTCGTAACCTGCAGCGTTCGCAAGGAGGACAGTACATAACACGAGGTTCCACTGTACTTCGGTTTTGAAATGCTGATGTGAACAGAAGCAGAAGTATGTACAGTGGTACCTCAGGTTAAGAACTTAATTCGTTCTGGAGGTCCGTTCTTAACCTGAAACTGTTTTTAACCTGAAGCACCACTTTAGCTAGTGGGGCCTCCGACTGCCGCCATGCGATTTCTGTTCTCATCCTGAAGCAAAGTTCTTAACCCGAGGTAATATTTCTGGGTTAGCGGAGTCTGTAACCTGAAGCATCTGTAACCTGAGGTACCACTGTATTCAAGTCACTAGCCTCCCCCCCCCCCCACTTATTTTTCAGGTCTTGTAGGTCATCAGTAAGTGCATCTTTTATTCCACACATTTGTGTTTGGAGAATCCGACAGTGAAGGTGGGTCATATTTCCATGGGCTCGTCGTATTGGCTGATCACATTTGGTGGACATTCTCAATAGAAGGCGATGGCATCAGGTCTAGAAGGCACCCCCTGGTGATTCCCATTCGTTTGCCTGATTAAATGGGCAGCTGTTTCTGGTTTGGTGCAGTAAGTAATCTATATTGGAAGGGAGCATGAGGAGAGATTGCAGTTGTGGAAGAGTTCTGACAGATGCTAACACAAAAGGTCTGTACGCCTGACATTCAGTCTGAAAACGAAGCTATTGCATTACCGATCATATTTTTAAAAGGAGGCAGTCACAAGGGAGGAAATGGTATATGTCACGAAATACATTTCTCAGGAAACCAGTGTCACTCCAGTGGATAATGTAATATACAAACTTGCCCTAAACACTCTTCAAGTTACTTTTATCTTGGATAGTTAGATTTCAGGTAGGTACCACCGGCGGGGGGGACGGGGACCAAAGGATACTCCCTTTTAGAAACTCAGTTGCCTTGTTTTTAATGTATTGCAGTAGTAGGTGACATCTTCCATACCCCGTGGTAATGTGTGTATTATCTAGCTCATGGGTATGTAAACTAAGGCCCAGGGGTCAGATCCGGCCCAATCACCTTCTAAATCCGGCCCATGGATGGTCCAGGAATCAGCATATTTTTACATGAGTAGAATGTGTCCTTTTATTTAAAATGCATCTCTGGGTTATTTGTGAGGCATAGGAATTCGTTCATTCCCCCCCTTCAAAATATAGTCCAGCCCCCCACAAGGTTTGAGGGACAGTGGACCGGTCCCCTGCTAAAAATGTTTGCTAACCCCTGATCTAGTTGGACTGCAGAGATGTTCTCTCTCACACACACACCCTTAAAAGATGGAACCATTTTATCATGGCAGAAGGCTTTGTGGGCCAGAATTGATCACAAATATGAAATGTTCAGCTAAGTAGGTAAGGTATAAGCACGCTCTGAATGTTGAGAGAAGCATGAGATCATGTGTGGTTCCACACCTCCTGCCCAGGTGAAGAATGTTGAAGGCCAAACAATGTTACAGACAGTCGCTGGTGTCGCCACACAACACTGAGCAGCACAAATAAACTATGAGACTGACATGGCTTCTGAATGGGGCGGATTAACCGCTCTGCTTCAGAGGCCAAGCTTTCGTTCACTTGAGGATAAGGGCGCATTTAAAAGTTTGGTAGAGGTAGAACTGGTTTTTAACACTCATTCAGTGCATTCCATGGTATTTGTTTTCAAGGTGGCAGCAGCCCGCACCATGCTTAGAACATAGGTCTTGATTTTACCCTGAGATTACCTCTGCTTCCTGGCAAAGGGGTCTGTTCTGCTCCTTGAGAAATCCACAATTCACAATATGATCCCACTGACAGCAGGACCCCGCTTCCACTTGGCCACATGATAAGGGATCCCAGATGAGGGGTTGTGTTCCCAGTTAAGGAAAGCTGAAAATGCCAGTGCAGCATGACACAATGCAGATAGGAAAATAGATGTGTACCTGGGTGGACAGAGAAGAATGAGAGGCGCAGACGCAGACATCAAAGTACCTGATACCTTTTCCTGGATCGTTCAGCCCGGACACTGAGATCCTGCGCTGAGGGCCTTCTGGCGGTTCCCTCATTGCGAGAAGTGAGGTTACAGGGAACCAGACAGATGGCCTTCTCAGTAGTGGCGCCTGCCCTGTGGAACGTCCTCCCTTCAGATGTGAAGGAAATAAGCAGCTGTCTTATCTTTAAAAGACATCTGACGGCAGCCCTGTTTAGGGAAGTTTTTAATATTTAATGCTGTATTGTTTTTAACACTCAATTGGAAGCCGTCCAGAGTGGCTGGGGAAACTCAGCCAGATG